CATGTTCTATTATCTTGTGGGCTTTATTGTATTAGACCAACAGGCTGCTGTGTCAGTAAAATGTTGCGGCTGTTCCGTTTCTTTTTACATAACAGCTCGTAGTTTCCGCCCAATGATCTTGATCTGGGCTACACTTGGTCAGTCACACCTGACAAGTCGATTCTATTTTGTGATGCCGGCTCTATAGAGGCATGCTGCGCGTGGGCGCCAATCAGTGCGGGCAAAGAAACAAAGATAGTAAGCACATAAAAGAACACGTCGATTACTGCCCTCTTGAAAGATAAGGGTGAACATGAGGCGAAAAAAGGACAAAAAAGTCCTAGTAGTGAGTCCATATAAACAAGGACGCGTCGTTCTAGTCAGTGATAACAACAACCATAATCCTAGAGTCTTTGCTTCGGAAGGCTGCTTAAATGCCGTGACACGTGTCCAGTACTAAACATCATGGCAGTACAGAACTGTCGCAGTCTAGGAGACAGTGAAAAAAATCTAACACATGATAGTGCTACGCTGCCGTTGTAACAATCAGATATCAGTTGGTGAAGCAATCATTGCTTTTAAGAGTCACCTAAAACGGCTGCTAATAATTTTTGTTTATGTATGTACACTGTATAGCAGCTCTGGAACTTCAAGTTCATTCTTTCCTTTTTGTTTCAACTGACAACAGCTTTAGATCAGCACATCTAAGGATGCCTGGACGGAGGAAGTGGTACGTCTGGGACTGTTGCCGTCGACTGCCACAGCATGGCCCTGACAGTGTCCACAGTTGGCTTGTGGCCGGTACGTGCTATGACTTACATTACTGGGAAGCGGATACGAGTTCGAGCAGATGTTTCGTTTGGTGAACGTGTCTGCAAGGCATGAAAGTAGCTGATGACAATATAGAAAATATTGTGATTGCGGCGGCTAACTGATGGATGTGCAGGGCATTGTAGTACCCCAATGCTTAGCACGATTATAGTAATTCAACAAAAGAGGCCATTATTGTTCTTTGAAGTAAGTTTATGAACGTAAATGCGAAAACACGTAAACATCTTTGTGAAAAATTTACATGCATATAATTAAGTGTCCATTCGTCGCCTTTTTGTAGAGCCCCTTATGCTTCAGGCTTTCCGCATTTACGCAAACATGATGCAAAACTTTGAAACACCAGTCAAAAATGAAGTATGTATTTTTTAGTTTTTCATATGGTGCATCGTAACGTGGAGCAATATGAGCGGCACTGACAAGACATGGCATGTTCTTACCGTGTAGGATAACAGTTTATGTACATTTCATCAACGAGTATGAGGCATGTTTTGAACACATAACTTTTTCTTGACAGAATAATGAAGTGGTTGTGGAACCCTTCTATTCAGATATTGCTATATAGGTAACACGGGACCATTCTCTCTAGGTGGGCGTTTCCTGTGCTTTAAGAATACTGTTGTAGGTGCACGTTGTAGTGCGCCTACGGGTTTCACAATGGTCAGCTTGGTAACCCACTGGAAAGGATCGTTACCACCACAAATTTACTAATTCACTCAAAACGTCTTATTATGTCGTATGATAATGTTCTTCTTATGTTCGGTCACCTGTACTGTGAGGTCGAACATCAGAAAATACAGCGAAAATAGGTTCGTACAGACCAAACTGAAAACATCCTTTCCGCGTCAGACGGAGCTAGGAGAACCAAATATTCATAAGACACTGTTTGCTGCCTTTTAAATGCAATAATAACTAAGGACCGCGTCTGTCATTTCAATTTATAAAAATGTGCTGAATAATTTATGTCTTTCACCATATTTGCACTAAAGTGAGAACGTTGCGTTTCCTAGCATTACAATATTAAAACTGATTGAAAGCTCAATAACTGGTCGGTTTTTGTTTCGGACATATATTGTATTCATATGAAAACATTTCAGTTATATTATGTTTGCAGAGACGTAAGTGACCGTTTTGTCATCAAAGTTTAGGTCAGTTTGGAAATCGATATTCTTCAAATAGCTGTAAAACAGACTAATTGTATCATTTGCACCTTTCAAACTGCAACAGGCTAGGCGCCGATGTCAATACCCTCGCTTTGCTTTCAAACGCAGCTATATTGTTTGAAAAAATGAATGGTTTAAGCATGGCTGATTCCAACATACATTACATATGTTGATCACGATGTTAGCTAGTCCCCCGTTTTAGATATGTTGATCACGCAAGTTAATCTAGTAAGCTGTTAGGATGTGCCGCACCTGATCATGTCAAGCCTTATCTAACAAAGGCTGAATGTTCAGCGTTAAGGAAAATTTAACTGGCGCCCATAGTGTCAAACATGTTGTGCTGGGCGCACGTGTAACTTTCGGTTGCAGTGAATTTCAGCATTTGTCCTTTTGAGGACGTCTTCACGTGGTACGCTTTTTTCAATATCGTGTAAAGTATAAACCTTTGTCATGATACAACAGATGTTCATGCCGAAAAGTTACAGTGACGCAGTCATAAAACATTCGGCATACTTGATTCAAGGTCACGACACGTCACTACATATATAAGAAAAACTCTAGTGAACGACCCTGTTAATATGGGACGGTTCGGCCTGGGTGATGGCCAGGAATTCATGAGTTCTGGCACCTTCTGTTATCCGCCGTCCACCCAAAGGTGTATAGGTAACTAAGACTTTATAGGAGCCTGCAAGCTTTATTTTAAGCACAGTTATCATTTTGGGATAATAAAATAATGCGCAATTTCGAAAATCTAATTTGCACAGATGAGGCCTGTTGCATGCAACTGCGGTTTCAAGAGGAACAAAAGAGGACATCGGTTTAATAATTATTAGATGTGTCATGCGTAGTTGACGTGGTGTGTATGGTATTCAACAAATTTTCTTAGCCATTTCTTAAACACTGAAGGTGCATGAGCTTCTTAATTGCACACTCCAGCGTTCTGAGCTGCTTACCATCAACTGTTGGCTTCTAAGAGGAAACAGTGGAAAATGATTGATTGATATGTAGGGTTTAACGTCCCAAAACCACTATATGATTATGAGAGACGCCGTAGTGGAGGGCTCCGAAAATTTAGAGCACCTGGGGTTCTTTAACGTGCACCCAAATCTGAGCACACGGGCCTACAACATTTCCGCCTCCATCGGAAATGCAGCCGCCGCAGCCGGGATTTGAACCCACGCCCTGCGGGTCAGCAGCCGAGTACCTTAGCCACTAGACCACCGCGGCGGGGCGAAACAGTGGAAAAGGAGACAAACAAAGAATAATCACTCAACACAAGCGCTGACGAACAAGTGTGTGTAATTTTTTTACACAAGGAATTATATGGCTGAAAACGAAAACAAGATGTCAACCATCACGTATTTAAATGCGAAAGTATGCGGCCACGAGCTGAAATGTTCCAAGTTAACCGCTCAAAAGCATAATCTCTTTTTCGAGGAGGCACAGTGAAGACTGACTGATGCGCATTTATCCTTTCTTCATTTCGACGACAAAATAAACGAGAAAGCCACCTTTATTTCGTCATCGATACTGTTACGACACCTTAAGATTATCTTGCAATTATGAAATTGTGTGGTGCAGCCGCACGAAGAACAATTGGCTGCTATGTAACAATGCAGCAGTGTCCAGGGCTACGACCCTCGTGAGCACCAGCGTTTCATATCAGCTTACGCTTGTGTTGTTGCTAAGGTTAAAGTTAAGGTCAAGGATGTTGTTGGCTGCTGGCGGATCTAGCCTTGCATAATTTTAAGACAATGGCCCCGCCTTGTTTTCTCTTTGCTAATTGTAGCTAATGTCCTTTGTTTTTAAACTAAACACGAGCATGTTTTTAAAATAAAAATCGCGCATGGCGCGACCTAAGCCCGCGGAATACTACGGCCTTTGCGTGGTTCTTCGATGTTCAGAAAACAGGGGTCGCGACATGTCTTGAAATTTTTTATTGCGACAGACCTTGCATGTGACTGGTGATAAGTGACAATTATGTTTGGGGTATAGTGTAGCGAGATAGAGTACCGGCACAATACTGCACGTGCTGTTGCTAATACTCATGTTACTGTTGGCACTGTTGCACAAGTGTTAACTGGATATATGAACATATGAAAATCTTCGACAGATGTCCCTATGTGCAACATTTTGTGCACATATTTATCGTAATTTCATCACGTATCGCTCATTAAAAATTGCAACACGATCACCTTCCCTCCGCATGTTTCACATAACGTTCATTTCTTAGGCACGTGGGTTCTGCCGAATTTTTAAATGTAGTCTTCACTATGTATGACATATTAAAACCATGACGAAAAAGTAAGTTATGAAGTATAAATGTTTCCAGTAAATAGCCATGGCACCAAGTGGAAATGTTCGTCGCCAAACTAGCCAAAAAGTAGCAACTAACGGCAACTCTGTGTCCAACCACTGTCAAAAGAAACCGTTGACTGAGAGTGAAGGCTTTTGTCATATAGTCCGCAAGCTACTTCACGTATTGCAGGTATTATTGTAAGAAATTCTTAATAATAAATATATCTCGGGTCTTACGTGTCAAACTATCTTGTGATTATGAGGCACACCACCGCTGAAGGCGCTAAACTTCGACCATTAATTCTCGTAGAACCAGCGCTCACGAAGTGTAGTACATGGGCCTCTTAAGATTTCGGTTTCAGCGAAATGTGACCACGGATGCTGGGATCAGGCCTGTGTCTTTCGGGATGCCATTCAAGCGCTATAACCACAACATCACTACGGTGTACTAGAACAGAACTTATGCTTGAACCATTTTAATTAACTCCTTCGAACAGCTACGATGAAGTCAAAAATTGAAAACAGTTTGCAGTTTTACTACAAAAACAATAGTCTAATATTGTTCTAAATCACTGATTCGGAAACCAGAAATGCGCAGCATAACAAAAGAATGAAAAAAACGAGGATCTTGAAACACTTTGCACAAATAGTTAATCTAACAATAGCCTTAAACATTTACCAGTGCAGTGTTTTGTGCGCTGAAAACGCGGGCAAAGAAAAGAGGGAAGAGACCCATTGAGAAGTGAATTTTGTTAATTTTATAACATACTTTTGCCCTTAAATGAATAACCTGCCTTTCGTTCATACTTTTCGATGCACGTACTTTTAGCCAAATAATACGAACACTGTTCTGCAGTTCTATGGTCTCCATTAGCTGTGGATGCACACATAGGAATGCCTCTCTTTGATCAAAAATATCTGGTTGTGGCCTCTAGAACACGCCCATCAGATTTTAAGATAAAAGAGTGAGTTAAAATATTTACACAACATTTTAAAGGGAGTTGTTCAGTGAAGTAGGTTTCGGTTTCTCTAAAATGTGGTCTCTATTGCTGTTGACAATGCAGGAGCATGTGCCATGTCATCGTTCTTCGCACTGGCTGGGTGGCGTTCCATGGGATTGCTATTCGTCGCTATGCTCGAGACTTTCCGCGTCACCAGGGTGGAAGCTTCATGGCCCATAGTGGTGCTAGGTGCCCTAGGCTACATGGCAGGTGAGAAATACTGACTGTTCAATCTGTACTAACTTTCTGTAAGAGGCTGTGTCGATACAACTTCCGCACTTTGGAATAGAGACTTGTCGTGCCCGTTTCCTTATCTTCTTAGAAATTGGAGCGATAAAGATAATGTCATTTACAATAAGGCGGTATTATAAAATATCTTTTATGCTCTCGCATACTCGTTATTGAACAAAGGACAGGCGGTGGCGTGGCGCCTACTTAAGACCCATACGTTCCCTAGTCTGGTAACAATGAACTGCTGCGTGCCAGAACCTTATTCGGACAAGTGAAAATTTTGCAACGGGGCGGACTTGAGCCACATTTTACGAGCCCGCCCACAGGATCCCATGAGAGGCAAATTCCCAAACGGGAGTGGATGGAATACTGCTCTCCTCAGCTCTGATTCACAATTACAAGCACGCTTGATACTACAGGCCGAAGACGCCGCTAGGCCCCAAGGGATCATGGGCGTCGTCTAGGTTATGTCCTTCTCTTTCGTACCTCAAAAGGGAGGAGAATCTTTCTGCTAAATCAGTAAAAATTGTTCATCATCATTCTTACACATTTTGAATCGTAATCATATTGTTCGGAATTATGAACTGAAGACTTTTTCAGCAAACTTGCAAGTGTTGCTGTTCACGACTGGAAGTCATCGTTACAAGTATAACGACTAGTAAAAAAGGCCAGTGCAGGGTTTTTCGCGTCATGCTCAAAGACATAGCTTTGCGAACTTTGAAATACGCACATGCACAGATGTGAGCACAAGCACACACGCACGCACGTACATACGCTTCAATGTTTCGCGCACCTGTTAGGGAAGGGCCGGAGCAACATACTTCGAACATATTTGCTGCAGACAACTGCGCAAGAAATGTATAGATGTCTTCAGTGAATACACCTCACAAGATCCAACAACCATTAATGACTAAAGCCTTTCATACAAGTTAAGAACATTGACAAGTCTTCGGTGTTTTCATAGCCAATCTGGTGATCACTGGATGACAACTTGAGTAAGCTTGATTGCCTATATATTTAATATTTTTAGAAGTCCGAATTCCTGCACCTTCGTTGCTAGCCACCTGTAGCTGCTTTTGAGATGGTTTTAATTGAATGCATAACATCAAGAGAATCTATTGTTGGCCCTGTTGGTGCATATTTGAAGAAACGAAACAACCAGCTTACAAACATGTGTGCGAGAAGTGAACAAAGACACAAGCTGGAACTAGCTACAGGTTTATTAGAACCACCACACATGCAGTTGCCAGGAAAGCCAAGCGTCCATGTGTCTTACATAAAACACAAGTGCTTCACAAAAGGTGAAAATGATATCACTCACCACATATTTCCAAATAAGCAATCTTTGTATCTGATAATGATCACGAAGATGCAATTCGTACTAACCATGTTTTCAGATTACATATACTAATCACTGAATGTATATAATTCCCGGTTCTCTTACCACTAAATTTCATGCGTTTCAGATCAAGTTAGTAAAATATGAACACTGTAGCATGTGTTTGTCGTCTTCTTTTCTTGTGTAGGTGTTCATAAATTTTTTTTTCCTCACTTACTTACGAAGAGCAGCATTCTCAGGCACATGGATTACGGAACCCAATTATTTGAATTCTTTACCTCATACTACTTAAAGTGACTGTTTGCTATTTGTTTTGTCAACTCTGTCTAATGTCGCAGCAGTTGAACCGGTGGGGCTTTTCTCACCATATTATTTCTGCCTAACTACCAGTAGGTGCATTAACTAGCCAAATAATTTTGCCAATATGCCTGACACTGTAACATCAACAACCATTAAAACACTGAAGATAACATATATAACATCGCAATCAGTGGGGCTTAATTACAGATGCATGGGGCACTTCAACGTTTTACATGGGTGTTGCTCAAATACTCATGATACCAATTTCTTTTTGAGACGACCGGTAAACACTATCTCCAGCTGTTTTGGACGTATAAAGGCTGAACAAATTACAGATTGTTGTTCGGTGCATTAAACTAGTGAAGGTACAGTTTAAGTCAGCCGACCATATAAGATATGGCCTGTTAATTGGGTTTCACTGTCTGTGGTTTCAAAGCGCGCATAATGATGTAATTTCAATCAATAAGTGAACGGTTAGTTTTGCTGAGAATTCATCATTGCCAAAATATGAGTGAACACAGGGCGTAATAACATACACAACTGTTCCTTGGGTATCTTATTATGTTCTGCCTGGAATAAAAATTGTGTCAATGCCAACGAGCAGAAGTCTGGAAACTAAAAAAATCTTCTGAAAAGTCTAATAAATCACCATTTTTATTTGTTATAAATATTTTAAGTGTGCTAGTAACATGAGCAATGAAACACCACAAGAATAAATGTGTGCTTGTGTTTTCCGAGTTTCAACACCATTTTAACACAAAGAGTTGCAAACTAGCTCTATTTGGTGACCCCTTTTTTTAGTGGAAAAAGTTTTTTAGAAAGTAAAATATTATTGGCTCTCTTGGCATATGTTAATCCACCAGATGGTACGACTTGCCAGACACGAAAAAACTGCGGGTGTATACTTTGGTTGAGCTCTCAGAACTAAAGTGGGGAATGAGGGTGGTGTCTCGATCTTCGGTTACAGTTATTGCTCATTAGTTATCGTTAGGTGGATGGAAACGGTAGCGACAGTTTGAAACAATACGGTGAAATAAAAGCATCGTTATCAATGTAGAACGCGCAGAAGTGGTCCAAGGGTATTATAATACCGCTCAGTGTTTTATAATAAAAAATAAAATTCATTTGTTAACACCAGCCGCTCTAAGCAACCGCTACCAAACTGATCGGCAAAAAACCATCTTCTACTTGGTTTTTACAGGGACACTGTCCGGCTATTTCGTAAACAATCGATAGGCAAATGAGCTATAAGGACCTAACTGAGACGAACGATCCAACTCTATGCGCCGCCAAAGGTGGCGTCCTGGCGCCACGCCAATCGACGGATATGTTGTTGGCATCTTCGCGAAGTAGCTTGCGAGGCGTAAGGATGTAGGCTGGTTGGAAGTGGTGTTGCAAGACGACCGATTCGTGCTCGAATACGTTTCAATGGCAATCGGAGTCTTCTGAAGGACACCGTATAACAATCGTCATAGCAGAGAATGAAGTGGCACATGCACAGCGACTCATTTGAAAAAAACGGGCCTCGTAGGTACAAGTTCCTTATGCACGAAAGTTTTGTGGCAACAAATAAAAGAAAACAACTAGAAAGAGCGGAACACAATCAATATACGCTGTCCTGCGGGCATGGGAGGAACTTCAGAAGTTTGCCGGTTGCAGAAGCAATCGCAAACTGAAGAAGTCTCCAGGAAGCCGCAGAGGTGCGTCGAAGATTTTCAAACCGCTGGATAGCCAAGATCTTGAAGTAAGACCGTGCATTGGCCAATCAGGAAAGTGGGAGAGTATTCGGCCCATGGGTTGAATACCCTCCTACACTCAGATTGAGAGCACTGCAGTGCTCTCAATCTGGGCGCAGTCGAAGCAGCAATACGCTGCTAAGAAAACCATTCCACAATGCGGTTTGCACAAAAGCAGTGCACTGGGCTACGGAAATGTTAATTGCAAAAGTGGCGGTCAAGGTTACTGAAAAGATATATTCAATTTGGCGGTAGAATGATTATAATGATCTTGGGCACCAAAATTAGGAAATCCATGTGTAAGCACAGGCATTGGTGACTACTTGAGAAATTTCGCTCGGAATGGTCACTACTTTAGGCCAACGAGCGCTTTCGCTAAATGCTTAGTGGTTTCTCGAACTTTGAGAACGGGTATCCAGCGATTACCCATAGGGAACTTGTTTTTAGGTACTAGCTAGGCTCATTTTGTGAGCGATATGCACGCTGTATATTTGTGCAGTAATATGTGCACGGCAAAGGTTGCATATAATGGTATATGACAGTTTTTTTTTCTGAGTCCGCACTCAGTGATAAAAGTTATGTAAGGAAGTGCTGCAGTCGAAGTTATTGTCAGGTACTCTTTGCCCTCTGTAACAACCGGGAATATTCAAGCAACCAGAACATGTTTTTTCACTAATTGGCTGATGTTGAAGAAAGGTTAAAGACGCAACCCATCTAGACGAAACAAAGAGTGGGGCAAGACGGAGCGTCGTCTAGTGCTCTATGCTGTCCCTCTTTATTTTTCTCCGTTGTTTGCGCCCCATGAACCTCTTTTCAAGTTATGTTGGTCCCTAAGCAACGTTGCTGGCTCAATATCTTGCTAACATGAATAAATAAATATGTTGTCAGTAAAGCACACACCTTTCAAAAGTACACAGCATTTATAGGTGCCGTCCGAATTCGCCAGCCACTCTATTATGTATTCATTATGAATTTGGCCTTGAAACTTTCGATGACCTCTGTACATGATAAAGCAGCAGCCGAAATAAATTAACAGGAATCTGAAGACAGTGCTAAGCTGTAATGTAAAATTTTTCTCTCTCTCTCTCACTTTAGGCTTGATTACGGGACCCCTGGCGCACAGTTTCGACGCTAGCCGAGTCATGATTGCGGGCGCTGCGATGTCAAGCATCGGCCTTATGTTGAGTTTTTTTGCCACAACAACTGGTTTTCTGACTTTTTCACTGGGTGTAGTGCATGGTAAGGCGAATTTCCTATAGCACGCGGTAATACAAGAAAACAGTTTTGCAGAGCTAAGCTTGGTTTATTTGTATAGGTCATTCAAAAACTATTTAGTTGTTATGTTTTTTGCTAACAAACTTGCTGCGTGGTGATGATATCTGGCGTGTAACGAAAGCCTATGGAATATGAAATGATGCCGCGTAACTAATTTCCTTCGCTACCTTTTCGAATTGCTTTCCAATGTGCTTCGAGCAAAACAACTAGAGTACTGACCGCCCCAAAATGAGCGGCCACGTCTCCAGGTATCTGCTTCACATCGCGTGAGCATTTTTGACGTTGGCAGTGAGTAAGAAAACGCCGTATTCCTTGAAACACGACAGGTTCATGGTCGGATGTTGATAGCTTCTTTCAAAACAGGGTTGACAGCGCGGCAGTGCGGCAGTTTTGTTTGTCATTTTGCGGGGTTTCATTTGGACGTCGAAAGAAATGACCATGCAGCAAGATTGTTTCCACAAGCTATTGTATCCAACGTTTGCAAAGGACAAGGTATAACGAGATTCACTTGACCCTTTAGTAACTATTAACAATGTTCTCTTGATTCAGCTAAGTTTCTTCAATAAATAGGTGCAGTATAGAACTTATCTCGGTGAACGATGCGTAACAAATACCGGTATGTAGTTGGTATCCTTAAGTCGTGGTTGACAAAAACAAAACACAAAACGGTGGTTCTAGAAACAGGCAACACCGTATGTATACGTGTTACAGGAAGAGGTTTGAAACAAAAACTGCCGAAAAAAGTAGCATATCGCTTCATTGAGTAAATAAATATAGGGTAGATAAGTCTGATATATGTTACTCTCTAACGTAAAAGACGTATAAAAACTTGGGAATCGAAAACATTGCCGTATGCAGTCTTCATGTATTAATACATTTAGTCTGGGAATATACTGGCTTCGATAGAAATCAGGCAGAAATAGCAACGAAATTGCATTTCACTTCGTGTGAAACATGAACCCCAGCATTGCGCATACGCACTATAGCTTTCCTAATAAACGTTACATGGTGAACCAACGCAAGTTTCTCGGAAATGCGGCATAACTGCGTACTTCATCACATTCACATCATGCTAACAGAGGCCGGGCTCACATGTTTGTAGCTCGTTGGTCCTAACTTAAAATGATCGTAAATAGCTTTGTGCGTGTCAAGGATAGCGGTATTGTGCCTCGGAGCGCATGCTTTATGCAGTGGTCTATCAGGTCCTTTACACGACATTTATAGTAAACATTTTTTTCTGTTTCTAATTCCACAATGAAGAAAAATAACAGCGCTGCTTGAGAACATAGACAAAAACACGCGAGATCAGACGCTGTCTGCTAGTAAGTCTTCCAAAAAACACCTTTTTCTTCATAATGTCATTTGTATACCTGTGAGGTCACACCAAAACCCTTTTATTTATTTTTTAAGTCTGCCACCCATTTTCATTTCGGCAGTAACAACCGCAATATTTGGGTTCGCTTTTGTGAGGAGAGGGGAGAGGACGGGCATTAAAGACTAGTCAAGTGTCTTCTCACGGGCAGTTACCGAATGTATGCACTTGAACCATTCCACTAGTACCATTCAATATTTTCACGTTTGCAGCCATTGGAACGGGCATGGTGTACATAGTGGCCCCCACCATAATCAGCGAGCACTTTGTCAAGAACAAGGGCCTAGCGATGGGACTCAACTACGCCGGCGTCACCGCAGCTCTTTTTGTGTTTCCTAAGCTGTTTGAGTACCTCATCACTGCATATGGACTTCGTGGTGCTCTTCTTATCAGCGGTGCTATCACCATGAATGGATTTGCGTTTAGCTTATTCTCCCGCACACCTCATTGGCGCAAATCTGTGGTAAAGGACATTGAAAACTTCGCTGGTTTGACCACCAAAAGCATAGAGAGTCAAACGCACAACAAGCTACGTAATTTATTCGCAGTGTTCAAGAGCCCAATGTTTTTTCTTTTGATGTACAGCTTCAACGCTTACGCTATGTCGTATGATTTTTACATGTCGTTGTTCGTCGACTTTGCCTGTGATAGAGGGGTACTGATATCGACTGCTGTTACCGTAATGGCAGCAGGAGCAGTCTCCGAGGGTTTCGGCAGGTTCATGTTGCCGATCGCCGTCGACCGAAATCTTTTGAAAAGCAGCGTGGCCCTTACGATCACACTGTGTGTGGAGGCGTTCGCCTTCCTGCTTCTACCTTTCCTGAACAGTCACGAACTCATCTTCACCGTAGCCATTGGAATTGGCTTCGTCATCGGCACTGGTATTGTCATTTTCCCGGCGACTCTGGAATACTATTTCGGCCATGAGAAGATGTCAGTGGCCTTCGGCATTGTCGTCGCGTCGGCTGGACTTCAATCATTTCTGCGGCCTTCGTTGATAGGTAAGTCTTGTATCTGTGCTTTCTCCAAGCAACAGATAAACCAATGATTATATTGTTGGCAGCGAAAAGTAAGATTAAAAATATTTGTGCTTGACTTGCACCACAATTTTTATCTTAAAAAACGACACATTGCTTTCACGAATGCGGACAATGACTCTAGGTCAATTTGCCGGAGTGTTTTGGAGAAAAGTTCTTGCTTTGTAGATGTAGCTATATTGACTATTCGTAGATGGCTCTCTGTAAGTATTGACTCTGTTTATATTGCCGCACTTACATGTGACAATATGAAGCTATAATTTTAAACTTACCCATGAGCATTGTTGTCATAGGACAGCCACCTGAAGCTGAACCACATTAACGTTTAATCATACGCAGCTCGCCTAACGAAACCGTTGACCGTTCTAAAATGTCTTGCACTGGTCGCAGAAGTGAAACACTGTGGACACGTTCTAAGCCTCTATAGAACTTGTTCTCGGCATCTTTTTGAATGCATTTTTTTCCTTTTGCTGCTGAAAAAGCACAGTAAAAGTCAAGTTCTTCCTGAGCATTGTGCCGCCAAGCATTTGTTAACTGAAACAGCCTGCTATGTTGTTTTTGTGACAATACGCTACCAGGCATACAATTGTATACAAACGTTAACTTCAACAAACCTTACTTTTCAAATACACGCAAAAATGCCTCATAATTGTGGTGCAATCTCTGATACTGTGGATGGAAGTAATTAAAACTCACTGCTTTCTCTGTTCTTCCGAAGTTACAATTATGCGTGTTAACGCCCTTTGTTCTACGCGGCGCTACACTGTTGCGTCTTGTTCCTGCTGTTTTTGCTGCTGACAAGATGGTTAACTGTGTACAGTGGCAAGTCTTAACTTCACGTCGAATAGGAGTGGGAGTGTAAACAAAACTACTATCACTCTAGAGTGAGTCAGACTACAAACAATAAGGAAATAGTTACGAAGCGACACAAGTCTAACGTTTTATTCTGATCTGTTATTGAAAAGACACAGGAGTTTATACATAGTTCTTTAAGCTCGAAAAGGACGCAAGTGAAACGAGTCAAGTCGGCCAAAAACTTAGCTGTTGTGCGCAGCGGCAACCTTTTTGTCTCTCAGCGGCATACCATGGAACGAAGTCACAAAAATGCTTCGTGGACATGCGCTTTATGGAGGTTCACTTGTCCTCAATTTATTATGATTATTTTCATCATCCCTATTCCCAGCCTAATTACGCCCACTGCAGTATAAAGTCTTCTTTCATGTTTCGCCAGTGAACTCGGTCCTGTGCTTGTTGCGGCCACTTTTCACCCGCAAACTTTTTGATCTCATCTGCCCACCTGACTTAATTCAACTGAAACTTAATTCAGTCGTATGACAAAAATACACATACAAAAACTGCCATTCACGTAAGACAGCTAATGATTTGGGCGACTGTACATGTGTGTGTTCTGCGAAATAGCTTAAATATAAAAGAGTGATAAATAATGTCACATGGTCATGACGTTGACGAAGGTAGAGAAGGCGCGTCTGAATTGGAAATGATCATTTGGCCGAACTTGTTGCCGGGAACAAAAATTTAGGCTGCAGGAAGCAATGCATGCAATACAGTATGTTTTGCAGATTGACGTGCCACGAACTAGTTCCTTTTCGAAGGAATGAATGAACATGCCGGTCAATTCCGGAGCGGTTGAACTCTAACTGTAACACGTTACGTTTATGACCGAATGGTTGCGGGAACAACATTCCATTTGTAAACGTTCTCCGGCATTCACCAGGCGCACCCCAGCAGCCCATTGTACAGAACAGCACGACGGGGCAACGATGTAGGGCGCTTATAAAATAACTTTCACCTATATACCACATTAGTGTGATGCATCATAGCTTTTTATGCACAGTGCTCGCTAGGGCACAGGAAAGTCAAATATATCGACAATGACTATAATGTGTACGTGCGAAAAAAAAACAGTTGATAGTTTGCTGCAGAGGTGCCTCTACTGACTGGTCCGGTGTGGGATGATATAATTCTGATAGGCGAGAGAACCACAACAGTGGGTGGAAGTGATAGACCGAAAGAAATAGACAGTAATACTTCGTGGAGGATATTCGGTGAGGCAAGAGTTGTGCCCGTTTTCGCATGATCTGAAAGCGAGCGTCCTAACCACTCGGCTATAAGGCTTTTTTACTGCTTGTTAATGGTATTAGCAACACATTTCAGCATAGGACATTAAAGTAATTTATATCATAGGGTATTATTGCGTTTATTCTGTTGCTGTCGTACTTAACGACGAACTCATAGCACTAGAGAATTCGCATTTATCGAGAGAGCGATTGCATCAATAAACGACCATTTCCAATTATACACTAGAACTACTGTAAGGGTGAACACCTCACCAACCCAAATGCCAAGTGTTCGGATATATTTTTTTAGCTAAGGGACCATAAAAAGGAAGTTTTATGTGGAGGAAGCTATCAGCTATGCGTTTTTCTGCAGCTTGTGCGATCACTAGAAGAGCATAGCATAGTAAAGTATAGTATAGTATATCAATAGGGTGACAAAGGGAAGCTTGTGTGCGGAGAAGGTAAATGATGAAGAGAACGAGCCTTGAGAGAAAGCGAAACATAGGAAAAATAATAGAAAAGTAAGAAAGGAAAAAGCTACAAGGTTATAGAACGACTACAGTGAGAATAGGGATGAAGGATATCAAAAGAAAGAGATAAAAATAGCGGCAACAAAAGGGAAGAAAAAGGCAAAATTATATACCGGCAGAAAACAAGTCATGCAGAAATATGTTGGTTTACTACAAACAGAGAGCTTTACTTTTTCACAAATTTGTATTCTGGACATCATTTCATTCGCTACTTCTTGTGAAGGAAGAAATGACCACTGAATAAACGCCCAAGTTTTGTCAATTTCGACGTGATTTGCCGCGCAAATAATTTATTGATATTGTTGCATTGGTAGAGATTTATATTTTAGTGCCTGAGCCGCCGTGTGCTGATGCGTCATTGAAGATTGACGTGGGAAGTGTGTTGGACTGTCAGCAGCAGTGCCGGTGTAGTCTAAGAAACAGACATGTCAGTAGCACGTCAGTAGCAGTGCGGGTATAGTCTTTAAGAAATTCATCCAGGAGCGTTTATTTATTGCTTCTCGACTTGCGTAAAACCAGCTGTCTGTTATAGTAAATACGCATAAGGTAATAAAAACTAGAGGTGCGCTCTCAATTTCTGACCGTATTTTACCGCCTTATCCTATATAACACTGCATATTATTCAAAACGTCTCTTGCAACCTTAATGTAACGACATGTTTCAATTTGTAAAACGTATTTGTAAGAAGTTTTTTTTTTGCAACTAAGGAACTTGTGACGGGAACTTGTTCCAAAATAGGGAAGGAACTAAGAACCTGCTTTCGTTACTCTAAGAAAGGAACGTGCGTGACACTGACCAATGCAGCGCCAGATGTCGATGAATTGATCACCTTCGCGACGCGCCATCTTTTATGCATCATGCATCGAACTTTCCAGCTTTGTCAATGGTGGTCGCGCAAGCTCTCGAATAACCTTTGGTGTTCGCGTATTCCGCACAACATTTACGGAGTGACCTACTACATTCGTGAACCATCTAGACCCCCAAGGCATGGTCTGCACCCAGCAGAGCTGAGAGTTTTTGTGAGCGTAAACCACATACAGAAAAACTGAAACGACAAGCGCTCGTGGCAATATATTAAACTCGTAATAGATTACACGAACTAGCACCTTGCGTTCCCCCTCCCCCCCCCACCGCCCATAAACCGTACTTTGCAGAGCATGCACCGAGAAGATCCTTGTGCGGTTGCGCGGCGCCCTGACACTCTGGGAGTTTCGCGACAGTACGCAGCCAGGGTGTTCCTCCTGTTTTACTGACACAGAGTCATTCTTCACCGCATCCTTGCTAGTTCCATCTGCACGCGATCTTTAAAGGCTGCTCAAATCTTAATCACGAGAAATTTTGTCATTGTGCGAAACATAATGCGTATGTTCTGTATGATTTGCTCAAGTTCACATTTTTATACTACTGAAGGGGCTAAAGCGCGAGCTTTTAAATGATCAAACTTTCCAAGATCATTTTGTTTTGTTGTTGTTTTTTTAGTTGTTCGTGGAGTCATTTCTGCTTTATTCAGCTTGTCTTTTCTATTGAATCGCAAATTGCGTACAACCACTAAGTACACACTGTTGTCAAAGTGCGGTTGATGTTAGCAGCGTTATTGCAGACGTGCCACGTTTCAAATAACCTCCTCTTTGCAAGGTTCCTTTCGGAACCGATAGATTAGCAGAACATCGATGGGGGTGGAAATGCTGTAGGCCCGTGTGCTCAGATTTGTGTGCACGTAAAAGAACCAGGTGGTCGAAATTTTCTGAGCCCTCCACTAGTGACGAAGAACGGCTATTTGGGCTAGTTGGTTGGAACTCATGGTAATAAGGGCTGTAAGTGCTAGCTTATCTAAGTCATGCCTACACAAGATGACCTATAGTGTAACAATGCAGGTTAACAGACTTCTGTCAGCGGGATTTTCAAAATCTGTAATTTGTTCAGTGTGCGAAGCTTTGTAGCAGAAAATCAAACAAAAACAAGAAAAGGCAGGAGGAAATAAAGAGCGAAAAAGAGTTCCAGTCATCCCATACTTCCACAATGTATCTCATGGTTTGAAGAAGGTAGGCTCGAGATATGGTGTAGATGCTGTTTTATCAGCCCGTGCAAAGTAAGCCAGATTTGCAGAATGACGGATGAGCGCCCCAGTGGAATCACGAAAAAAAAGTTGGACATGCGCCGTAAAACACATAAATAAATTTGTAGATTGCGTAGTTGGTGTTGTTTACATGCTTTCTTTAACGTGCGGTCGTTGTTATATAGGCTAAACTGGGCGGTGCATTATTAAAAGGTTAGGAGAACATATGAATGATGTATGCAAAGGAGTTCATTCAAACATCGTTCTGCACTGTAAAAACTGCGGGTGCCAGCCTCGATTTCCGGGCGTGAGTGTGCTGGTACGCCACATGCACAAAGTAACTCGTGAAATAGCTGAGGCGTATTTTATTAAAAAACATGGTGACGGATGCGTGAGCCAACTTTCGGTGGCCTTGCATGACAAAGAGTTCGCGCTTTTAGATAAGGGTTAGCCATTTTATCATTGTACCTTATTTTTATCATACTCTTCCCCAGAATATGCCACGTTGCTCACGTTTGTTGTTAATAGATTGCATGTTTCATATATTTTCATGTGTGCTGCGAAAAATAAAATTCAGTTTGTAGTCAGCACTCGTGTTGTCCTCTTTGCTTTCATTGCCTCGCCTTTCGCTTCACGTTTATGCTAGCGCCTTCGTGCTCGCGCTGAAGCCCTTATTCACTAGTGACGTCTCTCATAATCATACGGTGGCTTTGGGACTCCATATAAATCAATCAATCAGCTTTGCAGAACACCGGGTTCAATAGCATAGGTGTGGGAGGGGCGAATTGTCATGAAATGCCACGAAATGCTTCACACAGATAGACAGGTCTCCGTCAACAAGTTTACATGAATGTTTCAATCTGCATGGTGTGTGTGAGTTGTTGATTTCGCAGCCGTATTTATGTTTTGTTGCGTTAGCATAAAACGTCATGTTTTAACGATAGTTTAAAATATCGCATATATCAAGGTGGAACAAGCAAAATGTCTTTCATACTGCAGCTGACCTCCAATTGAATTTGAACAGTACGGGGTTTTGAATTTATGTTCGCATCCGAATGAATATGTTTTATTGCGTTTGTGTTCAGAAATGCAGCCACTGTCACCAAAAAAAATTTGAGTGGCCAAGCCTTGATTGATTGATTTGTGTGGTTTAACGTCCCAAAACCACCATAGTATTATGAGAGACGCCGTAGTAGAGGGCTCCGGAAATTTTGACCACCTGGGGTTCTTTAACGTGCACCCAAATCTGAGTACACGGTAGAGTGGCCAAGCAACACCTTTTAAAGTAGCCATAGAATGAATTCACCAGAAGAGCTTATTGCCTCAAAACTTCACCCTGTAAACATTTTTAGAATCCGCCCAGTATGAGTGGAATGGCAGATTTCTCGCACGCGGCGATCGCATTCTCTCTTCTCTCGTCATCACGAAAGCGGCGGAAGCTAAGCAGGAAAGAATGACACGGGCAAATCAAACGTCACGAAAGCCTCGTGACCTTGAGAAGTTTTAGGGGTGAAGCTCCTTAAGACTTCACGATATCCGTCGTCTCCCGTCTGTCCGTAACACCATGTAACCTTCAACCTATAAGCAACAGAGAGTGCTGTGGTTAATTGTAGATGTGATGGCGCTGCTGTCAACGCTATACATATATATATATATATATATATATATATATATATTTATAACCACGTTCCATACCACACATTCTCTTCTCTCATATGGACAAAGACGAACGCAGAAAAGCGCGACGTGCTGAGTATCAGCGTCGCAGTCAACGGGAAGCTACCGCGGAGACAGAAGAGAAGGAAGCGGATGCAAAGTGGCGACGGCGACGGCGACGGCGACGGTGACGACAAAGTTCTACACCACAAACTAGGGCTAAGGGAGCAAAGGCTAAGCGGGAAAAACGCCGAGCTGACGCGTAGTTGAGACAACTTGAAGCGGATGCAAGGCGACAATACCGACAAGAAAATTCTACAACAGAGACGATAGCTAATGAAACTGTGATTGTGAAGTCAAAACGTAACCCGGAACTCGGAACCTCATATCAGCTATAAAGAAGAATCCCCGCTATATCACAATCGGTCTCAGCCCTATCTCTTTGAATGAAAAATATATAAGTATCACAACCACACTCAGTCTCAGTACTATCTCAACTTTAATTACAATGATCACGTCCGAAAGCTTCGCCCTATAATTATCTTCAAGAAGCTTGAAATGCACTGATTTTATAGTTTTTTTTGGAATATGCGGCTTCCTTTAGTGCTTTTTGAGTGCGTGAACAAGCCCTGGCCTCCCACGGTGGGCCTTGTAACGACCGAGCACGCCATTTTATATTGATATGCGGAGTTTAACGTCCCAAAACCACCATATGATTATGAGAAACGCCGTAGTGGAGGTCTCCGGAAACATCGACTGCCTGGGGTTCTTTAACGTGCACCCAAATCTGAGCACACGGGCCTACAGCATTTCCGCCTCCATCAGAAATGCAGCTACCGCAATCGGGATTTGATCCCGCAACCTGTGGGTCAGCAGCCGAGTACCTTAGCCACAAGGCCACCACGGCGGGCCACGCCATGTTATAAACAGCCAATTGCTGTTAGAATGGCTGTGACGAGCTTCTTCCGTAACTTGTCGAGAGAAAAAAAAACTTTTTAGCTGAATTTATTATTTTGTTGTAAAATATAGGGTGCGTGCTGTGCTGAAATGCATGGCTCACGTGTTCTCAGAAGCCTCTTCTACCTATCGGCAGTGCTTTCTGACCATTCTGAAAAAATGTTTCGGCGTTCGTTTAACGACCATCCTGGTGCTTACTTCTTAACCAAATCAGAGATACCCATAGGCGTGCGTATGATTTCCGTTAAGGAGAAGCAAGGTTCCATCACAGACACCCCCCCTGTCCATGGTGGCTTAAGTATTGTAGAGAATGCGCTTCACAATACATGGAAAAAAAATCAAGCGATGACCCGCTTCTCACAATGAACTGGCTTTGTTTGCTGCCGTTCTGTGAGTAATGTTTGCAAACAGTTCTTCCAATGCGACCTCAGTGGTCTTGGTCCACCAATCACAGCGACAACCAGTGTGGCCGTGACCCCGCTTTTAAGTATGACAGGCATGTGTAACTACGTAAAAAACATAGCGCCAGCTTTAAACCCCACCTTTATGTTGTAAAGGAAGCGTCAGCGCTCACGCCCCTCCTTTTTATTTCCCTCTTGGTTCGCATGCCACTAATAGGCCTTTCTTTTGCAGGCTACTTCAGGGACGAAGGTGGCGCCTATGACTGGCTCTTCGTCATCTGCGGAATGGTCAACGTGGTCGCAGTTGCTCTTTGGATAGCTGTGCTTGGACGGGAGTGCTGCAGGAAAGACAGGAGCGTGCTTGTCGAAAACACACCAGCCGGAAGTCTTATTAAAGTAGAGCAAATAAATAAAACCGCTAGACCTCATCCGGTATAAAATTCCGAGTGACCGGTCATGACGTATTGTACAGGCCATATAAATAAAAACATGATATGAATATTTCCACTCACACGTTAGACGAGTGAATTATTTGTGAGAAATAAAATTGAAAATTTAACAGCAAAATGAATGTAGCGTGTATACGTACTGCAATGCGTAGAATACTCACGCTTTTGTAACTTGGCAAAATCTATCAATTGCTTGCCATTTTGTTATGAAAGTTGACGCCGGAGAAGCGATAATAGAGTATACGCTGAATTGATAGCATGATCACTTCACAAATAACGCTCCCTTTAGGAGCAACTAAACTGAACAGAGCTCAGTGTTGCTATGAAGATCTGCTTTGCAAGTCGAAATAATCAGGCTCTATAATATTTTAAAGCTCTAGTGACAGGCAGATTAGGCAGTGCGATCGAAGATGGGGAGTGGTCGTTAAGAGTTAGCAATCGTAAAACCGAAAGGAAGCTATAGCTGAAAGAGTGAATAAATAAATTAGTCCTTTAATAATTAAACTAAAATGTGATTTTTGGCCGCTGTAGAGGGTGAGCGGGCAAAGAGACAAGGGGCATGAAAGGGGAGGAGCAGCTTTGCGCCTCCAATTCGCACAGGATAGATCGAAGAAAATAGCCTACAAAAGAGCCAGTGGTGCCAACTAATCTTGGCGAAATTTACCACTTCATGGGTGAAATCACTCTTATTTACCCTACACAGCCTTTATTACCATACTTTTTACATTATGCCTAAAGTGTATCGATAAAGAGGTACACGTACACTACACTCCACTGCACCTCATGCAGACGTATAACGACGCTGAGTTGGTAGCTACTTTGAAAGTGCGTTTGAACAAAATTATATGAAGGAGTAAGAAACATAAAAGACAGACTATCGGAAGAAAAAAACAACGTCGCGATATTGCCACAGGGTTGTGACAATGACAAAGAGAGCAGACAGTAGGTCGAAGATTGAACTGTTTATTCCGCTGAACTTGTGGCCACTTCAAGGAAATTCAGATTACAGCAAGACAACGGCACTGATGTCGGCGAGCTGAGCGTCGGTCGTCGATCAACTGTCAAGCGGCGAAGCGTGTCAGCATTTATACACATACTATCGAACATTCTAACTTGATCGCTAGCGGTAATGCATGTTCCAGAATAATCTTGAATGCTCACGAAGTGTGCGTAACCTTAAAAAAATTATCAGCTTCAGTCCTGAAGCCTCTCGAACACTGAACACTGTAGGCGTGGTTTGCGCTGAGAATTGTGTACAGCGTAATAGGCTGATAAGAAAACTTGAGGAAGAAACGTGGCAATATCATAGGGCAAAAAGAGTTTCAAATTAGAGAAAAAAATGGATACTCATGAGAAAGTATGCGGCTGACAGTGTAATTGATATGGTGAAGAAGAGTTTTATACGAAACTTCAGAGAGGCTTTGATTTACAGGAAGAGCGATAGCACTCATCGACAGAAAGCCGGCTCTCGCTAGCTATTGAAAGGGTAAATGAAGAATAAGCAAGAGCGTACTTCACGATAATTCCTGGAATTGTCAACACAACTTTGTTTTCTTTAGTAAAGGGAACGTCCACAAGCACATCGCGAATGCAAGTGTGTTGAGAGCCTCATATCCTCAGTTCTATTGCTACCCAGTTCAAGTTGCATCCGGAGTATCACGGCACTTGCTGTGAACTGGCTGGGTAACTGGGATTGCGTGGTCAAGGTCTCGCGTGATAAACATTGTTTCGGAAAAATAGGAATTTTTCGCAACGTGCTTAAATGAATTTCTTGGCTAACCGTTGGAGCTGGTGAACTCATGCCATAGAGAAACAGCATAATTTACGTCGTACATGAGCGTTTAGGGAAAAATAAAGCAGAAAATTTCACCCACAAAACGTGCACCGAAGAGAAGACAAGCGGACGTTACCTGGCCTGCTCCTTAATTACAAACAGAGGAAACGCGTGCGCATATGGGGGTGTATGGGTTATGACGAGGAAAACAACCAACAGTCATGTGGATCAGCCAGTGGCCTTATTAAAGCTACTCGTTTTTTTTAGTAGCGTGCAAGATAATTGGGCTTTTATTTTGCTATGTGACTATCAATTGCATCGCCAGGTCTTAGGCCGATAAAAGCGGTCCTTAAAAGTGACTACAAAAGGCACACACATGGGGGAAAAATGAGCAGAGCAGACAACAAAGTGCCCGGGCTGGTAAGAATAACAACACGTATTTTTTGTTTCACAAATTCTACTGCCACGCGTCTCATGGCTCACCCTTAATGGTCCATTGTGACATTTCACCGGTAATCATCATCATCAGTAGGAGCTCTACTTTATTTATTTATTTATTTACAGGATTTCTGCTGGCTTCAAAGTGAAGCCATAAACAGGAGTGATTGATTTGTGGGGTTTAACGTCCCAAAACCACTATATGATTATGAGAGACGCCGTAGTGGAGGGCTCCGGAAATTTTGACCACCTGGGGTTCTTTAACGTGCGCCCAAATCTGAGCACACGGGCCTACAACATTTCCGCCTCCATCGGAAATGCAGCCGCCGCAGCGGGGATTCGATCCTGCGACCTGCGGGTCAGCAGCCGAGTACCTTAGCCACTAGACCACCGCGGTGAGGCAGGAGTTCTTCTTTTTATATACATCGAAGCATTGTCGAACCGGCTGTGCAGCCAGCTGACCTGCACGATAACAAACAACAATGCATTCCCCCATCGTGTGAAGTGGGAACCCACCGCAATCGCAGCAACCCATTCTTTGCCGACTGCGCACTCTATCTTAGCCCTCTGATAGTGGAATTTACGTCACGAAAACATTGTTTTCTTTTCTCAGAGATCTTAAATGTGGGAATCATTTAGCCGCAATTTGTAGAAGCACAACTGTAACCTCCTATGGACATGTCATCGAACGTCCTAAGGAAGGTATACGACGTCTCCGTACATAGGCACGGCCGGTAAGTTCCCAGTGGAATTTAGAATAGTAAGAAGGTGTTTCCACCTACATTCCCAAGTACTGGTAGCTGACAAGTAGGTAAGTAAGATGCTCAAACATTGTCGTGTGATCGAGTTTACCACGACTTAGCTGAATGAAACTCAGTGAACGAGGATAGCGTGGAACGAGACACGCAGTGACTGTCGAGATAAGACTCCGTAAGTCCACAAGACCGAATTTCACGCTTGCAACGTCCACGCTTCAAGCAACAAAGACTGCGCAATATCAAGTACTGGCATGCTTTCTTGTTGTCAAAGTAACGTCGCAATACTGCGAGAAGCATGCTAATAATCTGCGCACTTCACGTAAGCTGCTTCTAACTCCATTCTCGCTTGTGCCCTATGCGTCCCTTCAACTTTGAGCAGTTTTTTTTTTCTACAGCCAGTTGAATTCGCGCAGGGCATGCGTCATGTGATTCATAAGCCAACACCTTCCACCATTGAGACACGTTAAATCATGCTGGTCGTACATTGAACAGCACGGTTGAATAAGTGTTTGCTCTTCGTTTAGAACACATTAAAATATTGACAAAAAGAAACTGCTAAAGTTAGAAGGAATATTCAACATTTTACCGTGAGTGGTGAGAGGGACGTGTTAGCTTGCATATGTTTTTAACGGGGTGGATGTGAGCCGCGACCACAGCGAACAAACACGCAAGTGAACTCACTCGGTGACATGCTGCCTGGGGCTTTGATAGGCCATTCCTCTGAGCTGCCTGTGCTTTGGTTGGTTGAGGGAGACTGCTGCGGTATTAGTCATTTCGTGTCGTGTCGTTTCGCTTCTTTAACACAACGAAATGGCGGTGTATTGCTGTATTGCAATTTTTGTCATCAAATAAAGAGGTTCAAGTAATAGACATATTTCTATGTAGGCCGCCTAAGTAGTGCTTTCGCATTCACTGCTCCAATGCTGAGAGCGTGTAGCTCTCATCATGGGCCCTCAGACCGATCGTAGTCTCTAACTCTATTCATAAATGTGTGCAAGGAGGATAATATACGCCTATATGTTATTGCGAACGTGATGAACCATAGTGACAAAGCATGAAAACGAGAAAGATAGGTATGGCATGTAGATAAATGTGGTAAAAATATTACATATGTCATGGAGGCCACATTTCATGACTACAAACACATCAAGCTCTGCATTGCATAGTAGAATTCCTCGAATTATGTATAGTTGATTATTTCGCTTTTATGCTCTAAGCAACATAAAATTTCATATCTGAAAGTCAATGGCACAAGGCCAATGAAAGATATTTGTCTCATTGGTGCGTCAAACAGCATAATCATGTCCCAAGGCTGTTAGAAGAAACAAACTGGCCCCGTATCTGCGTGCTTCACTGACTTTATTTGATAAATTGATTGATATGGCTGCACCCTTTAGATTGGGCGGTGGCTAACGCCAACAAGCCGTAGTACTTAGTGAACCAAAAACTAGATTTATCTTTTGTTTTACTTTAAATTGTGAGGTTGAGGACTAGAACTTTGCAGTAAAAGGTTTATTTCAGTCGTGCTTTGACTTTAGCCACCAATCCGATAACCTCCTTCTAGTTAATTCTACCCGCTTAAAGTCTATTTTGCCCTCCCTGTCCCTAAACCCTAGTTCTTTGGAAAACTCTGCGCCATCATCCTGAACTATAGGGTGGAGCCCTTTACAGAACATTATTAAGTGTTCAGCAGTTTTTTCCACCTCTCAACACACATAGCATACCGTGTCTACCCCGACGTATTTGGCCCGATATGTCTTGGTTCGCATTACTTTCATTCTCGGCTGAAACGGTAGAAAACTAGCCCGAGTATTATCGAAATTCCTTCCTTGGCAATTTCGTCCTTGAAAGTTCGATAGATCTCTAGTGCGGACTTTTTAATCATGCCGATTCTCCACATATCAGTGTTATCTTCCTTCACCTTTTTCTTAACCGATA